GGAGGAGTGAAGCAGAAGTTTGTAGCAATGGTATAAAAAGAAAAAAGAAAAAAGAAAAGGGAAAGTTAGCCTAGACAGCAGTGGTCTAAATAGACAAAGATGGAGACTACTCATGAATCAGCAAGAGGCATTATGTATTTCTGTGATTTAAATAGCTGCCCATCTCACACAAGATGAAAACACAGAAAACTCACCACACATAATCTGCTGGTGCCCAAGTATAAGCAATAGCCCCACTCCCCCCCCCCCCACAGCAGAGTTCCTCTACCCCTCTGACCCAAATGCCTGGGGAAACAGGCAGGAGAGAGAAGGCCTCGGTTCTCCCCACAGCACTCTGGGTAGGCGGGGTTCCAGAAGTGACAAAGGGGAGAGGGGCAGCTTGGGGCTGCAGGGGGATCAGGAGTGCAGGTTGGCAACACTTGGCCAACAGAGAGAAAGGGGCTGGCAGGTTTTCCCTCCGAGATCTGCTGGGGAAGGACTGAGACTTCAAGAGCCAAGACGGGACGCAGACCTGAATGGAGGAAATTCAACTCACCAGGAGAGATCAAGCAGAAGAGGGCAAAAGAACCGCTACGTGCCCCAGATGTTGCTTGGGCATTTGACCATCAAAGGGGGAGAGACAGTTTGTCCAAATATGCACTGCACCATTGAGGACAAGTCTGCTGTACATAGGAGATTCAGAGGCAGACAGGAGAGGAGGACTGCTGATTTCCCTCAGGACACCCAAGAAGTTCAATAACTTAGACTTGCTTAAAGTTAATCTTGGGCCTATGATACTGTCTGTATAGCCTTATAGCTCTTGTTTCTCTGATTCAAGTAGTAAAGTTGTTTTTGTGTTGGTATTTTTCCTATTGGATACTGTGGAAGGGAGGAGAACACCCTAGCAGCCCCCCCCCCCCACTGAAGACCCAGAAGTAGCCTCAGACAGGAGCCAGCAAGATCCTGGTGGGACATCTTCTTGGGGCCAACTTCTTGGATGTAGGACAGTCTCTGTGTTTAAACAGGAGTTAGGTGCCAGATATACATCCATGGGTCACAAAAGCTTTCATCTAACTGGCCAGATTCAATGTACTGGAAGTTCCAGGAAGATAGAGGAGGGAGAGCAATCGGGTCTGAATTGCATATCGTGAGGATGGGAAATATCCCAACTGAAACTTGGCATGGTAATTTCTAAAGCAGTGACAGTGCAACAGACCCACCAGGGCTCAGCCCGTCTTCAAGTGGCCAGAGGAACCTGAGTGCTAGCCAGGGTGCTGAAATGCTTAACTTCCAAGAGAGAAGGCCTGTAGGACTGAAGCATGTTTGGCTCGCTGGGGGAAAGTGCTGACAGAGGGGTATTCTGTGCTTTTCACGTTGCCTGACCTGAACGGACAGTGGATGCACTGCAAGTCAAGCCCATCCCAAGGCTAGCTTCCATCCTGGGGGGTTTCAAATGTGTTTGCCTGCAGCTTCCTGGTCCCCATATAGCTTAGGAGACCTGGGGAAAATGATACTTCTGGTTAAATGGCCCAAGGTGGTCTGGAAGATGCCCCTTCCTAAGTTCAGTCAAATAGGACTTTGTTAGCCAAGGCAGTGGGGGTGGGGTGGGGGTTAACCAAATAAAAACATGGGATGGAAGGCCACTGAGAAGGATACCAGCAAAATAAAGCACAAGACAGCCCCAACCGAAAAGGATTCAGAAGGTGACCTCATTTCTGGCTAACAGTTATTGGTGGCTCATTTAAAGCTGGATCACTCATAAAGATCTGCAGAGATCAAACATTCCTTTAAAAAAAAAAAGTCATATGAATTCCTATCACCATCGCAGCATAAATTAAAACATGTACATTTCATTCCCCTTGATTTATAGTCTGCAGAGTTCCAGTAATGTGCCACAACACTCCATCCACAAACCACAGTCAAAGGTTGACTTGTTCAGAGATAAACAAGTTGAAATGGGTAAAACTATATATGCTTCAGTTCGTACTGGATTATACCTACCATCCACATACAGCTTGTATTTATTCACGGTAGAAATTACCATCCCAATTTACATTCATCATGCACAACCCTGACAACAAATTACAGTGTTTAATCTCAGAAACCACAAAGGAGAGCTATAACCTGGACTTTCTAATTCTGAGGCTACAAATGCAAGCTTGCCTTCTTAATACTAATACTAAAACTAGTAACTTTCACCTCCTGTACCATGTGTCACTTTCCTAAACAGAAGTAGGCTTAAAACAACAAGCCTTTTGCTTCCAAAGGCTACATTTTAACCACTTGTCCCTTGATATTTTTTCAAGGCAAACTATAAAATCCACAACTGTCCATCTTGCCAGCACCACCCAATGGGCTGCCAATACCGCATGTGCCCGCCCATTGCAAGCAGCAGGCGATTATCCTCTCACCAAGATGTTCAGTGCAGCCTTGACTCTACAGCCACCGTTCAAAGAAGAAAAACCTGCACCCTTCCACATTTCATCTGCAGACCATCTTCCCCACATAAATCCCTTCCCTCCATAAAACAGATGGCATGCACCAGCGCGTTAGAGCCAATGCTGCTGGTGTTGCTCTCAGATCTCTGTGAATGCATAGTTTTTTCTTCCGAACGAAATTAAATACATTGGCCCAGAGGCAACCCTGACACCTACCTGCATCGTGGAGTTTATTTCCACCGCCTGGCTGTGCTGCTGCCCAGTTCTGCTCTTGGCCTGCATGAAGCAAATCTGGGGAGAAGATGCTCTGGAGGGGAGCTAGGTTTGCAGTCAGGAAAGGTGTCAAGGATTCTTGTAGGGCAGAGGGAGTTGCTAAGAGCTCTAGTACTGGCACAGGAGGACAGGAGTGACATAGGCCTTCCGGTAACAAAAAGAATTGGCTGTCCTGGACCTTCTTTACCCTGTAATTTGTTTCTTTTGCGGAGAGCACACCAGCTTTCCACCAGACTGGCAAGTGCTTTGGAAAGTGGAAGGCTATACATCAACTGCGTCTAGGACCCCGCATC